TAAAATCTGACACGTTTGCTGAGAGTGATTCTTGACTTGTGCTCTGAGTATTGACAGACCCACAATCTTTGGCTTTAACTGTTGGTGTCCAATTTTAATGTTAGCAAAATAACTCACAAACTATTGGATGACATTTAATGAAACTTCAGCTAATTTGTTTTTGAATGAAACTAAATTCAAGTTGGCCACCGCAGTCAACTGACTATAGAAAAACAAAAATAACTGTAATCCTGAGATTTTTACAAATATTGTGCTAAGCTGTGGTGTGGTCGTAGCTGAATTTAATACCTAACATATTTTGAGGGCAACACACTGCACATTATTTTTGATCACTACATCAACATTAGCTGTTTGGCGTCAATGCTGTTTATCTGTTAGTAAAATATGCTATAATCCACAAGACAAATTTCTATGGAAATCTCAGAAATCTGTTTTTGGATATACTTGTACAGTTAATGGTTCATTAATAGAGTTGACACTGTTCAAGACCTTCACCACAACTGACTTACCAGTCATCACAGAAATGGCTTTAATTAAGGCATTTTTATAGATAATGATCTAGAATTTAGTCTACTTGATTTGTGCAACAGATTGTGTCAAATCTTTGTTAAAATCCGTGGTAGTTGCTGAGAGTTGTTCCCAATACATCCTTCTGCAGATTGTGAGAGGTTTAGGGACATTGATATAACTATGCAGAATATTTATTTTAGGATTTGCAAAAAAATAATAAATAAATAAATAAATAAATAAATAAATAAATAAATAAATAAATAAATAAATAAATAAATAAATAAATAAATAAATAAATAAATAAATAAATAAATAAATAAATAAATAAATAAATAAATAAATAAATAAATAAATAAATAAATAAATAAATAAATAAATAAATAAATAAAAAAAAAATGTTGGCGAGTGATGCATTCTTTGAAGGCATGCTTGACCTTTAGGTTTCAATATTAAGTTATTGATTTATTTACTGATATAGATGAGGAAAAATATTGTAATATAGATGAACAGACAATTTTTCAAATTGTAAAGAGTCTGATGAACACAGTAAAAAACTAAATGTGAAAATTAAACATGAATCCATTTTATTTGACAGATTTTTGTAAAACTATTTGCTTGTGACCGACACTGAGGGTCCACTTGCCTCAGTCCCTCTCAGTGGATTTTTTTTCTTATATTCTCTAAAATTAATGTATTGTAAAAAAAAACAAAAAAAAAAACAAACCAAATCACCCTTTTATATGTGAGGAAAATATTTCCTCTCCCTCCGGGCCGGGGGAGAGTCTCTGCCTGAAGTGGAGGAGGAGTTTAAGTATCTGGGTGTCTTGTTCATGAGTGATGGTGGGATGGAGATGGAGATGATCAACGGATTGGGGCCTCGTCCTCCGTAATGAGGGCGTTACTTCAGTCAGTCGTGGTGAAGAAAGAGCTGAGTCGAAAAGCAAAGCTCTCTTTTTACTGGTCAGTCTTGGTCCCAACCCTCACCTGTGGTCATGTGGATCATGACTGAAAGAAAGAGATCCCGGATACAGGCGGACGAAATGAGCTTCCATCGTAGGGTGGCCAGGCTCAGCCTTAGAGATAGGGTGAGGAGTTCCGTCAACCGGGGGGAGCTCGGAGTAGAGTTGCTGCTCCTCCACATCAAATGGAGTCAGTTGAGGTGGTTCGGGCATCTGATTAGGATGCCTCCTGGACGCCTCCCTTTAGAGGTGTTCCGGGTACGTCCCATTGGTTGAAGGCCCCGGGGAAGATGGGATTATGTATCCTCTCTGGCCTGCATGGGAACTCCTCGGGGTCCTCCATGATGAGCTGGAAAGTGTTGCTGGGGAGAGGAATGTCTGGGTTTCTCTCCTGGACCTGTTGCCTCCGCAATCAGAATACGGATAAGTGGAAGAAGATGGAGATGGAGATATATACAGGGGTTAGACAATGAAACAGCTGTCATTTTTGTGTGGGAGGTTTCATGGCTGAACTGGACCAGCCTGGTGGCCGATCTTCATTAATTGCACATTGCACCAGTATGAGCAGAGTGTGAAGGTTCAATTAGCAGGGTAAGAGCACAGTTTGGCTCAAAACATTGCAATGCACACAGCATTATGGGTGACATACCAGAGTTCAAAAGAGGACAAATTGTTGGTGCACGTCTTGCTGGTGCATCTTTGACCAAGACAGCAAATCTTTGTGATGTATCAAGAGCCACAGTATCCAGGGTAATGTCAGCATACCACCAAGAAGGACCAACCACATCCAACAGGATTAACTGTGGACGCAAGAGGAAGCTGTCTGAAAGGGATGTTATGGTCTAAAACCAGGTGTTTCAGTTTCATTGTCTAACCCCTGTATGTGTATACATATATACATAAACTCTTCCTTGTGATTGTTGGTAGGTAAACCCTGTGAAACATATTGAGTTTTTTTTTTCCATGTTTGGCCCTGATTGTTGAAGTTGTACCAATTTCCAAGAGAAACCTTTGGTCCCAACCACTTCCCCTCACCTTCTGTCGAGTGGACATTCCAAAACAGATTAGCTGGAAATCTTTCCTGCTCTTTTGAGGATAATCCTTCGAACAAGGCTGCCCGGCACTCATATTAAGAATAATTTATGTACAGTGAATTCCGGTCGGGTCAAGACTCTGCTTTTATCTCGTAATATGGCTGTTTGAGTTCTTATAATAGGAGGAGACAGAAAAAAAGGAAGGAAAATATGTATTTTTTCTAACCTATTTTAATTGGTTAAAAAGAGTTCAAAGTCATGTGGATTTAAAACATGAATTCAGGTCACAGAAACACTGCAGCTCAGTCCACTTAAAAGAAAGAGGAAGTGTTTGTAGATCGAAGGTAGTCTGGGGTTTAAGATGTTTTCATCCAGCCTTTTTACTACAAGGCTGTCAGTCCGATTACAAGAACGTGGGTGCACATGAGCTTTGCTGTGACTGAGGTCTCATTGAAAGATTGTGACTCATGCATTTATCCTGCTTAATGTGATTTAAAAGTGAACGAGAGGCCACTGCTGCCCCTAAACAGCAGGTTAGAATGATCCAAGTGGCATGATTAGGTCTAGTGAGTGATTCTATTTTCATTTCTGAAGCGAAACAAATGAGCCTGGTGTTTGATGTTCCTCCTTTTAAACAGATTCTTCAGACTTTGGCACAGGAACTGATAGCTTCATTTTAGTCAAAATCAGCCGTGTGTTTAAAAAAAAGATCTGGAGGAAAACGTAGCAGGTAACTCCTTGCTAACATGATTTATAATTTGACTCAGTGGGTTCAAGTTCTGGCTCCTAGCCCAGATGGAAACTAGTCAACACTTTAGGGTTTAAATCCATTCATGGAAACACCATTCTTCCTCACGGTGACTGTGGCTCAGAGGAGATGAGTCCGGCAGGAGCATAATGCAAGAATTAGCTTTGAAAAGCCTCCCTGATGGAGCACAAGGAGGAAAAACACAGGCCTGTTTTTGAGTTAAAGTGAAAAGGACAGTATGGGGGATTTTTTTTTACTTGTTTTACAGTTCAGTGGTGGTGTTTGGAAGCACGGTCTTTCAGCAACGTGGGTGGCACGGTTGTTTCTAATGTCTTGTCATTGGCTCTGTGCACTTGTCAGTGT